AACTCATCTTACCCTCACACCAGTTGCTGCTTTTGCATGCCCTTGCTAAAAAGATTGGCATCTCTGTTCATGCAGTCGCCTACTCAGAACCTTGAAATCGTGCTTGATTCTCCCTTCATCTCTTCCTGGTCCCTGGCTGACCGTGTCTTGCTGCTGTAACTCAGTGTTTCTCAGCTTTCCCCTCTCCTCCCACTGCTGCCACCACTGTCTAGTTGCAGAACTCACCACTTGGCACCTGGTCAACAACAGCAGTCCCATGAATGTACTGTGTGGCTGTCTACCTAACGCCCTCCCCCCACTCACCCCACTTCTCAGATCCGAAGCCGGTCGTGGTTCGAACATTGCATTTGGTTGTGGCATTGCTTTTGTCTTCTGTGGCCTAGAACAAGGCTGCAGCCTGGGAGGTGCAAACAGTGCTGCTTGACTGTTAGCCGAAAGGTCGGCTGTTCAGACCCAGCAGAGGCACCTCAGAAGACAGGCCTGCCGACCTGCTTGGGGTTGCCGTGGACCGGGATCAACTGCAGGACAACTAACAGCAGCGGAGGTCTAGGACAGGTCATTCTGTACCTGTTTTTGCAGCTTTATGGGGACGCAGCCACGCCCATCCATTTGCATACTGTCTCTGGCTGCTTTCTGGCTACCAGCGGAGAATCGAGTGGTTGCCACCGAGCCATTTGGTCTGCAGAGCTGAAACTGTTTCCTGTCTGAACCCTACAGAAAAAAGTTAGCTGCCACCTAAACGACAGACGAAAACACTGACAAAGACGTTTTGACCTTTCTCACTTGGCGTGTTACTTAAAAACTGTGCTTGTAAGGTTTTCTTTCTTTATTCCCAGTGGGCCTGTCTCGAACTTCCTGGAGACGGTGGAAGACTTAAGTACTGGTTACTTCTGAAGCCTTTTCCTTTCTGGTGAGCTTGAAAGCCTTTAAGGCAGAAAGCACGTATTAAACTATCTTACTTGTTACAGCCTATTCGTTTAATAAGAAAAATACGTGACTTTACAGGGATCTAGACTCTTCCTGAATAAATAGTGCTGTTTCTTATAGATGACTTGAATTCCCACCAGTCTTTGCCCTGCCTGGTGTTGACCTTTCTGAGTAGGTGTCCTGTGGCACACTGTTCGTTTTGAGGCGTGGTCCCTAGTTCACTGGTAACTGAGATAGGACACCGATGGCGTTTTGGTTTCAGACATTTCTTCCGTACAGCTCAGCGTTACTTCCCTTACGGCAGTGCAGTGTGTAAAAGTTCCTGCTTTGCGTCTCCTCTCAGTAGCGTTTCACTGCTGCCTCTCTTCCCTGCTAGCACACAGCTTTACACCGTCACTGGTTCTTTCCGTTGCCCGGCAGAGCTTACTGTTCATCTTCTGCCTGATGGTATTTCGCAGATTATCTGTAATGACGGGCTTTGGCTTCGTCGGCTGTAAGGAGGGTCTGTGATTTGGCTTGTTTCTTCCGACTCTGAGACTCTGAGTTCGTCTCTGCCTCTGGGCCTCCTGAGGAGCTCCGCTTCGGTCTTCAGTTAGAATAGCGCGCCCCCCCCAACCGCCACGACCTTCTGATTTTCTTTCTAAATGACAGCCCTTTTCTTAACCTAAAATTAGACTCTTATGATCCATTCTTGATAGCCCAGTTTTTAAAATAGCCTTTTAATATGTTTTGTTGAAAGTATCAAGTAGGTTCCAGATTAAAAATAAATTTCAGCCAATAATTTCTGTCACTACCTCTTCTCTATTTTCCTAAAATACTTGGGGGAGGACAGCAAAAAGGACCACCGCTTCTTGTAAACCAGTCAAGACCAGAATCTGAGAGAAATTTTCACTTTCTTTTCTGACTGATAGAACGATTTGCAAAATGTGTTTTGTTGTTTCTTTGCTGGTTTTTTTTTGTTTGTTTGTTTTGCTTTTGGTGTATTCTGAAACAAAAATTTTCACTTTTTTAGAAGTGATCAAATATTGCATTTCCTTTATGGTTTTGTTCTTTGATTTTATGTATAAAATTCTTACTAATAATTTCCTCTCTCGCTTTTAATGCTTTAATCATTTGAAATTATTAAGGTATTGTCTCAGTTTTAAAAAACATTTGTCAACTGTGATACTCCTTTTCCTCCATGATTTAAAATGCTCACCTTCGGCGTGTACTCAATTCCTGCACTTGGGCCTGTTGCAGGCTTCCTCTTTTGTTCATCAAACACTTTATAGCTGCGATAGTCCCAGTTCGTTGTGCAATGACGCACATTCTTCCCTCCTACCTCTGCCTTGGAGTTTGTTTTGTTTTGTTTTCAGTCTTTCTCCCGTTGGTTTTATGTGAATTTTGACATCACTTTTTATTATGTTACAAACTTTTGATAGCAGATTCTTAAACAAACTTAGAAAAAGTATTATGATATCTTTCTACCTAGGAATAAGCTTCTGTACTTAAGTTGTCTTTTAGTTCTGAAGTAAAATTTAATCCTGGAGGACTCTTAGCTGTTTTTGCTAGCTTCATTCCAAGTAGTTTTTGTGATTTTTATGATTAGGATCCTTTTTTTTTTTTTTTTTTAAATGTGTCTTTTCTAGTGTCTATACCTCTTGTTTCTGGGGAGTCATAGTTCACTGATTAGTCCTTCTAGCCCAGGGTTGAGTAATGGTGTTCTTCCTGCCGGGATGGGAATGCTGCCGACGTGTGTCTGTCATTGCAGAGTTCAAAGCCTTTGCTTTCAACGTGGGCAGCTGATTTTGGCGGCCCAGCCTCCGTGTCTCACTCCCGCCTTGTTTGTGCAGGAGGCCGACACACAGCAGAGCCAGCAGCGGCAGCAGGCGCAGTTTGGCCACATCGGCTCTCTCCTTGATCTGTAGAAAGGGGTGGGCTGGGAGTTGGTGATGTTTTGAATTTGGCTGTGCCCAGGGAGTAATCAAGGAGAAATACTAGGTTTTAGGACATTTACTGAGATGAGGAAAATTGGTAAAGAAATGGTACTTTTCCCCCCTTTTGGAGGAGGAGTTTTTGGGGGTGTAATCCAGGAGCTAGTTTGAAGTATCCAAGTGGCATTTTCAAGTAACTAGGTGGTTATATGATTTCTCATTTTCTTCTTCATGAGGGAGTCATGAAACAGTGAAAAACGTGCTTTGATAGCAGGGCTGAAAGATGATTAGCGTTCATTCAGTAATGATGCAGTCATCCTCACTTCGTTAAGCACCTAGCCCAGGTCAGATGTGATTAAAGCACTTTTATTTATTAATCATTTAAACCTCACATCAACGATCTGAGATAAGTGCTATTAGTAGTTCCACTTTACAGATGGGGAAACTAAGGCACCAAGAGGTTTAGAATCTTGCCTTCGGTCACACACTATTAAATGGTAGGGTGCGTTTTAAACCACGCACTCTCACGGAATCTGTGCTCTTCATCCTACACTAGCTGCTTCTCGTGGAGCGCTGTAACTGTAGCAGGCACTGAGCTAAACACTTTACATGCGATGCTGTGGTGAATGAAACAACCAGGTAAAAGAGTACTAACTGTGTACCCAGATTAGGTCGTATAGCCACTAAATAGGATCCAAACGTGAACCTAGATGTCTCTAGGACTCCAGCCAGGTTCTTCCTACTTTGCATTATTGCCTCTAACAGGTCCTGCTTTTCCCACTTGACTTTCTGCAAGGTAACCCCTGAGCCTCACTTTGCTCCCTTGCACGGGGTGGATAATACCTGTGTGCTGTGATTTCTGGGAGACTCAGTGAGAAGCGTGCCCATGACACAGGGTACTCAGTGCTGACCATTGGTTGGTGTGTTACTGCTTGTGCAGGTGGGGGCACGGCTGCTGGTGTGTTGGTTGGTTTTTTCCCTACTGAGACTGTCTGACATTTTGGTACCCTTTAGTTCATGAGAAGATTCTTCACAGTGGGCACTGGGCCCTGACAGAAGACAAGCTTTGTTCGTCACCTTACAGAAATGGTTCTTAAGCAGTGTGTGGAAGTCAGTAACCAGGGACTTTAAAATGTATATACATCTTCTTTCTCTAGTTCCTTTTTCCTTTCACTCTTTCTGGCTCACCATCTTTGCGTCTTAACAGTAGCGCTTTGAGAGAAAATCACCTAAGTTGGATCTGATTTGCATATGAGTAGTACCCTTATAGTGAGTGAGTTAAGTTTCTTTCCTAAGCCTGCGACCCCTGGAGGTTGATTCTTTAGGTCTGGGACATGACTTGAGCGTGTGTATCATTGAAAAGCCCTGCGTGTTACTCTGATTCCTACAGTAGTGTTGTTATTATTGTTAGGTCCCTTCAGGCCGGTTCCGACTCATAGCAACCCTGCGTACAATAATCGTAATAGTTCTGTAATCTTCAGTATATCAATTAACCATTATTTTCTGTTGTCTCTTAATAAGAATGGCTATAAAGATAAATTTTTATGGGAGGTGGGAGGTACTGAAAATACTCTTATTTATGTGCAGTATTTCACGTGGAATATGGACAGTAATGAAATTGAAATATGCCGGAAAGGCTTTGATGTTCCTGTAGTCTTGTGGCTTCCTAAGGCATTTATGTGAAAAAGCTGTTCTAGGAAAGGAGAGAGGTAAAGAGAGAATGAATAGGTTGATTCCTAATAATAGGTTTGTTCATCCAAGGTTGACCCATTCTGTCACATTCCAAGCCCTTCTTTCCCATATCGAGCCTCGGAGCCTGGGTTCCACTCTCCTAGCCCATTCCTACTGACCCCAGAATTCTTTTACTTGCTGATAAGTTAGCAGTTTGTTCATTCAGCAGATATTTATTGAGGTACTGCTCTGGGCTCTTAGGATAGTGACATGGTCAATGCAGCAAATTCCCTGCTTGTCTGGAGTTACTGGATATGGAAAGTTGGTGGCTGGGGGATACCCAGTGCCCTGTAATCACACTGCCAGTGTTGTATCTTATTACAGTTGAGAAACCACATACATTTATAATCATCATATTTCTTAGGTTTTTAGTGTTGCTGTGAAACGACTAACACTTTAATAAAGTGTTGTACTTCTCCTTCATTCTAGATACAAACCACAGTACTTCTGGATCCCATTATGAAAGTTCCCAGCGTGGACCTGTGTCTTCTGCAAGTGACTCTAGCACAAGTTGTAAGGATGCTCTTGTGAACGACTCTGACCAAGAAGCATGGCCTGTAATCCCTGGCAGTGATCCAGAGCTGGCTTCAGAATGTATGGATGCTGATTCTGCCTCCAGTGCTGAGTCAGAGAGAAACATCACTATCATGGCTTCAGGGAGCACAGGTGGCGAAAAAGACGGGCTTCGGAATAGTACTGGACTCAGTTCCCAAAACAAGTTCGTGGTTGGTAGCAACAGCAATAATGTGGGCCATGGAAGTAGTACTGGGCCTTGGGGTTTCTCCCACGGAGCCATAATAAGCACATGTCAGGTCTCTGTGGATGCTCCTGAAAGCCAATCAGAAAGCAGCAACAATAGAGTGAGTGCTTGGGGCACTGTAAGTTCTTCATCCAATGGAGGGTTAAATCCAAGCACTTTGAATTCAGCTAGCAACCATGGTGCCTGGCCGGTATTAGAGAATAGTGGGCTTGCCCTCAAAGGGCCGGTAGGGAGTGGCAGTTCTGGCATCACTATTCACTGCAGTACCGTGGGCCAGATGCCTAACAATCAGAGTATTAACTCTAACGTGGGCGGTTCTTCTACCCAAGGTACCTGGGGAAGCCTTCAGGAAACCTGTGAATCTGAAGTAAGTGGTACACCGAAGGTTTCATTCAGTGGTCAACCTCAGAATATTACCACTGAAATGACTGGACCAAATAACACTACTAACTTTATGACCTCTAGTTTACCAAACTCCGGTTCAGTACAGAATAATGAACTGCCTAGTAATCCAGGGGCCTGGCGTGTGAGCACAATGAATCATCCTCAGATACAGGCTCCATCAGTTATGAACGGCACTTCCATTTCTCACCTTAGCAATGGAGAGTCAAAAAACGGAGGCTCTTACGGTACTACATGGAGTGCCTATGGTTCTAATTACTCTGGAGACAAATGTTCAGGCTCTAATGGCCAAGCTAATGGTGACACTGTGAATGCAACTCTAATGCAGCCTGGCATAAATGGGCCTATGGGCACTAACTTTCAAGTTAACACAAACAAAGGAGGAGGTGTGTGGGAGTCTGGGGCAGCGAGTTCCCAGAGTGCAGCATGGGGAAGTGGAAATGGTGCAAATTCTGGAGGAAGTCGAAGAGGATGGGGAGCCCCTGCACAAAACACTGGCACTAATGTACCCAGCGTGGAGTGGAACAAACTGCCTAGCAATCAGCATTCCAATGATAGTGCAAACAGCAATGGTAAGAAGTTTACAAATGGATGGAAATCTACTGAGGACGAGGATCAGGGTTCTGCCACATCTCAGACAAATGAGCAAAGCAGTGTGTGGGCCAAAACAGGAGGGACAGCAGAGAGTGAGGGGAGTACAGAAAGCACTGGACGCCTCGAGGAAAAGGTAACAGGGGAGAGTCAGAGCAGAGACAGAAGGAAAATGGATCAGCACACGTTACTCCAAAGCATTGTGAACAGAACTGACTTAGATCCACGTGTCCTGTCCAACTCTGGTTGGGGACAGACTCCTATTAAGCAGAATACTGCCTGGGATACTGAGACATCACCTAGGGGGGAAAGAAAGACTGACAATGGGACAGAGGCCTGGGGAAGCTCTGCAACACAGACTTTTAACTCAGGGGCATGTGTAGATAAGACTAGCCCTAATAGTAACGATACCTCATCTGTATCGGGGTGGGGAGATCCCAAACCTGCTCTAAGGTGGGGAGATTCCAAAGGCTCAAACTGCCAGGGGGGATGGGAAGATGACTCTGCTGCTACAGGAATAGTCAAGAGCAATCAGTGGGGTAACTGCAAAGAAGAGAGGTCTGCGTGGAGTGATTCGCAAAAGAACAAACAGGGATGGGGTGATGGGCAAAAATCAAACCAAGCGTGGTCCACTTCTGCCAGCGATAGCTGGGGAGAAACTTCTAGGAACAACCATTGGGGTGAAGCCAATAAGAAATCCAGCTCAGGAGGTAGTGACAGTGACAGGTCCGTGTCTGGTTGGAATGAACTTGGTAAAACTAGCTCTTTTACTTGGGGAAATAACATAAATCCAAATAATTCATCAGGATGGGATGAGTCTTGTAAAGCTAATCCTGCCCAGGGATGGGGAGAGCCTCCAAAGCCTAATCAGTCTCTGGGCTGGGGAGATTCGTCCAAGCCAGTCAGTTCCCCGGACTGGAACAAGCAACAAGACATTGTTGGATCTTGGGGAATCCCACCAGCTACAGGCAAACCTCCTGGCACGGGCTGGCTGGGGGGGCCTATACCAGCTCCCGCAAAAGAGGAAGAGCCAACAGGCTGGGAGGAGCCGTCCCCGGAATCCATACGTCGCAAAATGGAGATCGACGATGGAACTTCAGCTTGGGGAGACCCAAGCAAATACAACTACAAAAATGTGAACATGTGGAACAAAAACATCCCGAACGGCAGCAACCGTTCTGACCAGCAAGCGCAGGTCCATCAGCTGCTGCCGCCGGCAAGTGCCGTCGCAAACAAAGAGGCAGGCGGTGGCTCCGGTGAGTTTGCGTTGTTTGGAGTCGGATGGTGCATGTTTCTTAGTTCTGAATCATGCCATTACTGTGTGGGTTTATTTCTTAAGTATCTGTTGTTGTTGTTAATGTGCCATCGAGTCGGACCTGACTCATAGCAACCCCTCCTTGGGTTTCCGAGGCGGTATCACTACGGAAGTAGATTGCCCAACCTTCTTAAGTATCTTAAGTACCCACTAAACCCACTGCCGTGGTTGATTCCAACTCACAGCGCCCCTAGACGACAGAGTGGAACTGCCCCATGGGGTTTCCAAGGCTGTCATCTTTACAGAAACAGACTGCCTCATCTTTCTCCTGCAGAGCAGCTGGTGGGTTTGAACCGCTGACCTTTGCTTCGCAGCCAAGCACTTTAACCACTGCACAACCAGGGCTTCTTATATCTAAGTACAGTAGTCTAAATACTAGGAACTGTATTTGGCCTTAAGGAGCCCTAGTGGCACACTGGTTAAGCACTTGGCTGCTAACTAAAAGGTCAGTGGTTCAAACCCAGTAGCAACTGTGCAGGAGAAAAGAGCTGCTGATCTGGCCCTGTAAAGTTTACAGCATAGGCAACTCTGTGGGCAGTTGGTCCTCGGGCTCACTATGAGTTGGAATCAACTCAGTGGCACACGAGAGCATATTTGCCCTTGAAGGGATCTACTTCTATAGGCATGAAATATATGTCTCCTAGTTACAGCCTCTGTGTGTGTGTCCGTCACACCTTTGGCAATACCTTGCGAGTATATCCCCATCTTCCTCTCTTAGGACAAGGATCTGACTCCTGTCTGTTCCTGTCATCTTGACAATGACATTTTCTTTAAGCATGTCATTGGAATGCATTATCTTTGTTAATTGAGATTTTATTAATAATCATTGCCTTGGACATGGAGAGAGGAGTGTTTTTGTGAGCTAAGCTTTCGGGACCTAATTTTTAAAAATCTGAGGATAGTTTATTGTGTTAATGTAGGTTTAATTTATAGAAGAAACAAGTATGTCTCTAAGGGAAAGCCCGTTTATTTGGTTCTTGTAAACAGTATTTATTTATGGCTTTGATTTTCTTTTCTTTGCACAACCTAGTAATTTAGATTTTAAAAGAAACAATGTTCAGCATGTATAAAATAGAAGAGTAGGGTGTGTAGCTGTTGTTAGTCTTATAGTTAGTTTTTCCAGTAAGGGATGTTGAAAGATTACACTTTTGGTAAAAATCTTACACACAAACACATACACACACACACACACACACATATACACAATTTACCCAGCTTGATCACCTTTAATTTACTAGATTTGGCTTAGAATGACTTGCCTATTTCCAAGACTTAAATTCATCCTCAAACGAGGATGATTTGCCATAATTAAAATTATTCACAAGAATCTGTTCTAGGCCCAGAGGGCAATTATGAAAGAAAAGGTAAAAATGAAAAAGAAAAAGAAAAGTCACAGCATATAGTTAGGTTGTAATAATGGGAAATCATTTGTCTTCTTTACCTGAAACAGACGCCATCATTTTGCCCGTCACAGTGTTATTCAGTGCATAAACATGAAATTCTTCATCCTTTGTTCAAGTGTTCTTTATTGCCCCTGTTCCACTGTACCTCTCTGCCATATGCTGATGACTTCTTTTCCTACACTTTCTAAAGGCTGGGGTGAGCCCTGGGGGGAGCCATCTACTCCAGCCACAACTGTGGATAATGGTACTTCAGCATGGGGTAAACCCATAGACAGTGGTCCCAGCTGGGGGGAACCCATTACTGCGGCATCCAACACATCCACATGGGGCTCCAGCTCTGTTGGCCCACAAGCATTAAGCAAGTCTGGTAAGTTACTGATAATCCCTAGTAGCTATTTGTAGCGCTGGGGATCACTCATTGCTTATGATTTTGAAATACTGTTTCTGTCTTGGTAACGTATCCAGCTAATACATACACCATACTAGATGCCATTTCGAATTTGGCATTTGGGATTTGTAGCAGTTTGCTCATTCCTCTTTCTGAATTTTTCTGTCTTTACTCTTTTTTCTTAGGGAACTGTAACTATTAATGATTTGAATATATTTTATCAAATCTAAATTGTACTCTAACAAATTAAATTGTCCAGAAGGAGTCTAGTAACTTTCATGCCATCCAGCCTGAGAGCTGAATAGCATAGCCGTGGGGATAAGTCTCAGACTGTCAGGTTCCAGATGATTCCCTGGAAAGTATACGGAAGATCAGACATAGCTCGGAAGGGACCCTGCCCTTCAAATCCCCGTATTTTGTCGCTGTCTTAGAGGTTGTGTACAGGATAACACCTGGGAATCCTGCAGATCAGGTGTGGAAATAAGGTGCTTTCTGGTTGTGATTTCCAATGCCCTTTGGCCATCACCTTGAAAATATATGTCAAAATTAATTCTCTTAAATTTCATCCATCCTCTTTGCCCTGTATGTTATTATGCAGAGTGTAAGTGGGTAAAAACAAGAATGCCACCATTGTCCTTGTTCAGGATCCCTCTAGAACAGGTTTTCTTGAAATTATTAGTGAAAATAAATTCTTGTTTAATGAAACTTTAAGCTTAGTATAATACATTCATTCTAGGTTTAGGAAAAGAAAAGTGACATTTTTCTTTTCTTTTCTAAGTACCTACCCCTTTGCAGTTCTTTCATGCAGAAAGAGTTGCTTTATTAAAGCATGTTGCTCTTTGTGTCATAAATTTATAAACAGGGCCAAAATCTATGCAAGATGGCTGGTGTGGTGATGATGCGCCATTGCCTGGAAATCGCCCCACTGGCTGGGAAGAGGAAGAGGATGTAGAGATTGGAATGTGGAATAGTAATTCATCTCAAGAGCTAAACTCATCTTTAAATTGGCCGCCATATACAAAGAAAATGTCATCGAAGGTAAACATTTCAAGGGCAAGGTCCTTGAAGCTTTAAATTCCAAAGGTAGTTTACCCACAGAAAATTAATACTCTGCCTGCCCATTTATGGCAGTCAGTACAGTCCAGGCAGTCCCCAACTTAGGCGTAGCTTCTCGTATGGGCAGCCACCTAGCAAAACCGAAGACCACAGGAACTTCCTTTCTCCCCACTGCTACAGCTTGGGATTTCTCTCCTCCTCCCCCTCCACCAGTGCTGCCTGAGACAGCCACTCACCCCAGGGTGGTGCCTGCAGTGGTGAGGAAGAAGAGAAGGGCAAATCTCCACGGTGCCTCCTTCCATCCCATTGCCAGTTCATCTCCCATTCCGCCTCCTCACCTGCAGTCCCTGGCCCCCCTTACCCAGAGTCACCATCCTCCTCGTTCATCCCCACCTCCGGCCCTCCCCCACCCTAAAGGTCCTGTGACGGAAATCCCTAGATTGGCTGAATTTTATTTTGCTTCGATACGTGGACAAATCTTATTCCCAAACCTGGCTGCCTGTGAGAACACATCCCAGGCTACTGAAGTTGTGGAGACTGGACCCAGCCTCTTGTTCTGAACCAGCTCCCTGACGTTTCTCACGCAGAGCCAGCTTTGGGAACTCGTAATCCAGAGCACTGACCCCTAAGAGGTGCTGTTGAGGGCCCATGTCAGAGTCTCCTGGAGACCATTTGTTAAAATATGTGGCCAGTTTCCCAGGTGATTCTCATATGCCCCTCCTCACCCTGGTTGTGAGTGTTGACTTTTTAAGGAACCTTAGAGGTCAAATACCCACTATGTAGCTGCTCAGCTGACTGCCAAGGTTCCTCCCCTTTAATCCTGGGATTCTAAGTCTAGGACTTGCCATTCTCATTATTTATTTTTCATTTGGCCAAATTTGCCTGCTGCCTTGCCTTATAGCTTATGAGACGCTTTTACCTGTTTTACGTATCATTTGATCCTTCTGAGAGGATGCCGATGAGGAGGTTGAGACTGGAAAGGATGGTGACTTGCCCACAGTTACATAGCTAGTAAGTGGCAGAGCAGGCACTTAAGTTTAGGTCTTCCAATTCCAACCCTGTGTTCTTCCCACTGGACCATGCTGTTTTGTGACTTTGTCTTTCCTTACAGGGTCTGAGTGGCAAAAAAAGGAGAAGGGAAAGGGTGTGTAGCCTTTTTACTCTATCTCCTTTGTTTCTACTAGTAAAAATCTTTAGAAAGCAACTGCAAACATTTATTTAGCCTCTGCTGTGTGCCAGGTACTGTGCTTGGTGCTGGGGATTCAAAAACACTAAGATAAGAGCTGTCCCTTCACGGAGCTCGCAGTCTAGTATGGGGGCATTAGGAGAGCTTCGTAAGAATGTCAGCCTAAATTTGGAAGATGCCTGGGGGTGGTATGTGTTAAAAAGAGAGTAGCCCAGTGTGACTAAAATGTAGACTCTCTAGAAAGAAGCAGTGAGGAATGTGGCTCTATGCTTGGACAAGGGGCAGATTGTAAAATGCCTTCACTACCATTCCAAAGATTTTGAACTTTATTTTGTATAAAATATGGAGCCATTGAAATTAAGCAGCAGGAGACATTAGTTTCTGTTTTGATTTGTTTTTTATTTTTAAGAAGTTTTTAAAGTAAACTAAGCAGTGAGACTGTGAAAGATAAATTGAAGTGAGGAGAGAGCAGTGTTAGGTGTCTCAGTAAGGAAGCTTCCGTATGGATTGGGATTAGAAATGAGGGCCTGAAGGGGAAACAGTGAATGTACTCTGGAGGGGACTTGCTAGAGGGACATTTCAGAACAGAAGGGACAGAAGGACTGGTAACTAGTTAAGACGTGGGAGCGGGGTGAAAGAGAAAGGATTCAAAGATGCCTTCAGGAACCTGAAAGAGTTAGGGGCTTGCTTCAGAGACATGCATTTAGGGGGTAGACTGTGAAGCTGTGTTCTATTCCACAGTCAGAAGGAACAGGCATCAGCAGTGGGAGACACAGGCTGAGAATGGCCCTAATGTCTTCACATAAATGGGAGACCTGGGTCCTGACGGCTGACAAGCCTCCCTGTCCACCAGGCTGCTAATCAAAGACCCTTCATTCTCTCGATGCATGTCTCAGGGTCCTTCCTGTCCTGCCTACACCCCAGCCAGCCACAGGAAGTCAGCACTCCTGGGAGGAATCCCAGCTCTGGCTACTGCTGGGGATATCATGTTCTTGGCAACAGGAATTGGAAATGTAAAGTAATTTTCATATACAAATACTGGTGGTTTTTCAGTACAGTACATACAGCATAATTTAACTGGGGGTTAGTTTCTTTGGACTAACCTGATAACCTGAATACCGTTTATACTTTGTTCTGGCGTGAAATTTTAAAAAATCCAAATTATAAATAATGTTTTAGAACACAGTCGGTTTGTAACTTTGGAGCTGCCTGTCAGTCAGTCCTCATTGTCAGCGGCCCTTTCTCCTCATGGGGTCGTTCAGGCCCTTTGCGTTTGCCTTCTCCTTCTGACTGCCTCGCCTTTAGAGACGTCTCTGTACATTACAGCTATACCAGAGGACTGGAGCAAAGGAAGTCGAAAATCAAATAAGTTGATTTTTAATTGTTACAACTGATAAAAGTTGATTGGAGGAGAAATTATTAACTAAAAACGAGAGTTGGGAATTGTCTTGAAGTTTTATTAATCCATCACTCTACCCAAATAAATGGAGATGGCCATGGCATCTTTTCTACTCTTTATCTTATAAAGGGAATGATGAAAGGTGGAAACAAACAAGAAGAAACGTGGATCAATCCGTTTGTTAAACAGTTTTCAAATATCAATTTTTCGGTAAGCGTGTTTTACTAACAGTCTTCCCCTTTATCCCCTTTTTAATAGTGGTCCATATATTTTCCTTAATACCATTTTTTTTTGTTTTGTTTTCTTAACAAATTATTCTTTAAGTATTTGTGAATGTTCTTGAAGTTAGAATAAAACTGGCCTTCAAGCCTTCTTTATTTTTATGGTTTGGAAGTCACATAGCTGAAAACATTGATCGTAATGTGTTTTTGTTAAGTCTTTTTTTAATGTTTGGAAATGGAAAAGAAAGCTGTATCATTTACTTGATTTCATATATAATGAGACACAGTTCTTTATCTGTCTTCATTGTTAAATTAAGATCTGCTAACATGCTTTTTGTTACTTCAGAGAGACTCACCAGAAGAAAATGTACAGAGCAATAAGATGGACCTTTCTGGAGGTAAGAGGAAAAAAATTAAATCAGCTCAAGTTTACATTCACCAATGATAGACAAGCTGGTATCAGTGACGTTCTCCTACTAAAAAAGACACCCAGACCAGGAGAAAGGAGATGTGGGCTCCTATTGGAATATCCCTGTGCTCTCCAGCATCCATTAAAATGGGCTGGTTCACACGGGTGATGTAAAATAAATAAATGAATGAGGTAATATGCCTTTTAAACTGCAAATCACTGTGAAAAGCTAAGGTGTTGGTGATGCTGGTCTGTAACCCACCCACTGTCATTGAGTTTATTCCAATTCATAGCGACCCCCATTGGGTTTCCTAGGCAGTAAATCTTGATGGAAGTAGATTACCCCATCTTCCTTCCGTGGAACAGCTGATGGGTTTGAACCACCAGCCTTCTGGTTAACAGTCAAATGCCTTAGGCACTGCACCACCAGAGCTCCTTATTTTTTAGTCTGTAGTTATCTTAGATGTAGTCATGTTGAGAGTATGTTATCCAGGTTGGGAGCTACGGTCTTCTTGGTTCAGGGAACAGCATGTTCAAAGGCCCAGAAACATGATAAGGCATCTAAAACCACGCTGGAGAAATTGCAAGTGGTTCCATATAATAGTACCAAAAAATGCAAAATAGGGTGAGGGAATCAGGATTAATGATAAAGGGAAGGTGAAGAGGCTGGAAGAGGCTGGAAAACTAGGTACATTTTAAATCATGAGGTGGTTAGGGGTGTGAACTTTATTCTGAAAGTAAGGGGAAGACATTAAAGAATTTTAAATGGAGGAATGACAATTTGGATTTATGTTTAAGAAAAATATTTTTTACTATAGATTGAAAATACCTTAGAAGAAAAAACATTGGCAGAGGAAAGACAAAAGGAGACGGAGAATAGCAAAGCCAAGTAGAGATTTGTTGCCTTAGCCAATGAGAAGTTTCAGAGCCCCGAAGTAAGACAATAGACAGGAGAACCTAATCCACTGGAGATAAAGACGTTAGAATCAACAGAAAGTGATCACTGGTTTGAACCAATTTGTTATGAGGGTGATGAAAGGTGATTCCTAGCTTGCTTGTCCACCAGTCATCTGTCAGTTTCCTAGACTGTGGTGGCTTAAGTGTTACTGTGATGCTAGAAGCTATGCCACAGGTCTTTCAACTACCAGCAGGGTGAACCGTGGTGGAGAGGTTTCAGCAAAGCTTCCAGATTAAGATAGACTAGGGAAAAAATATGGCCGGGTCCACTCCTGAAAAAACTGATCACTGAAAAACTTAAGAATCTCAGGGAGACATTGTCTGGTACAATGTCAGAAGATGAGCCCCTCAGGTTGGAAGGCACTCATAATACAACTGGGAAGAGCTGCTTCCTCACAGTAGAGTCGACCTCAGTGACATGGATGGAGTAACGCTTGCTTGACCTTCATTTGCTGATGTGACACGACTCAAAATGAGAAGAAACAGCTGTAGACATCCATTAATAATCGAAACTTGGAATGTACAGAAGTATGAATCTAGGAAAATTGGAAGTTGTAAAAAATGAAATGGAATGTATAGAGATCCATATCCTAGGCATTAGTGAGCTGAGACTGATATTGGCCATTTTGAGTCAGATAATCCTATGGTCTACTATGTCAAGAATGACCATTTTGAAGAGGAATGGATCACATTCATCATCAAAAAGAACATTTCAAGATCTGTCCTGATGTATAGTGCTGTTAGTGATAAGGTAGTATTGGTATACCTACAAGGAAGAGCTGCTGACAGGACTATTTATGCCTGAGCTGTTTAAGCCAAAGGTGAAGAAATTAAAGATTTTCACTCTTCAGTCTGATATTGAACAAACATGCAATCAAGTTGTATTGATAATTACTGGTGGTTGGAATGCAAAAATTGGAAACAAAGAAGCAGCATTGTTAGTTGGAAAATATGGCCTTGGTGATAGAAATGACGCTGGAGATTGTGTGATAGAGTTTTGCAAGACTGACAATGACTTATTCATTGCAAATACCTGTTTTCAACAATATAAGCAGGAACCTTACACGTGGACCTCACCAGATAGAATACACAGGAATCAAATTGACACATCTGTGGAAAGAGGCATTGGAGAAGCTCAATATCATCAGTCAGAAGGCGGCCAGGGGCCGACTGGCCGACTGTTGAAGAGACCATCAGTTGCTTATATATGACTCTTAATTTGATGCTGAAGAAAATTAAAACAAGTTCATGAGAGCCAAAATATGAGTATGTCACACCTGAATTTAGAGACCATCTGAAGAATAGATTTGACATACTAAATGCCAACAACCAAAGCCAGACAAGTTGTGGAATGACATCAAGAACTTCATACATTAAGAAAGCAAAAGGTCATTAAAAAGCAGGGAAGGAAGAAAAGACCAAAATGGATGTCAGAAGAGATTCTGAAATTTGATCTTCTGAGGAGAATAGCTAAAGTGAGTGGAAGAAATGATGAAGTAAAAGAGCTAAACAGAAGATTTCAAAGGGTAGCTCAAGAAGACAAAGTACTACAATGAAATATTTAAAGACCTGGAGTTAGAAAATCAAAAGGGAAGAACACACTCGGCATTTCTCAAGCTAAACTAAAGAAAAAAATTCAGTCTGAGTTGCAATATTGAAGGACTTTAGGCGAAAATATTGAACACTGCAGGAAGCATCAAAAGAAGATGGAAGGAATATGCAGAGTCACTGTAATGTTCAACCATTTCAGGAGGTAGTATATGACCACGAGCCAATGGTATTGAAGGAAAAAGTCCAAGCACTGAAGGTATTAGTGAAAAACAAGCCTCCAGGAATTGACGGAATACCCATTGAGATGTTTCAGCAAATGGATGCAGCACTGGAGGTGCTAACTTGCCAAGAAATTGAGAAGACAGCTCCCTGGCCACCAGACTGGAAGAGATCTATGTTTATACTTATTCCAAAGAAGGGTGATCTGACAGAATGAGGAAATTATCAAATAGTATAATTAATATCACACATAAGTAAAGTTTTGCTGAAGATAATGCAAATACGGTTGTACCAGTATATTGACAGGGAACTGCCAGAATTCAAGCTGGATTCAGAAGAGGGTATGGAACGAGGAGTAGTATCATTGCTGATAATCAGATAGATCATGACTAAAAGCAAAGAATTCAGAAAGATAATTTACCTGTATTTTATTGACTATGCAAAGGCATTTGACTGTGTAGGTCATAACAAATTATGGATAACATTGCAAAGAATAAGAATGCCAGAGCACTTAAATTTGTTCCTGAGGAATCTGTACATAGACCAAGAGACAGTTATTCAAGCAAAGCAAGGGGATACTTCATGGTTTAACATCAGGAAGGACATGTGTCAGTGTTGTATCCTTTCACCATACTTATTCAGTCTGTATGCCAAGCAAATAATCTGAGAAGCTGGACTATATGAAGAAGAACGTGGCATCAGGATTCCAGGAAAACTCATTAACAACCTGCAATATGCAGATGACACAACTTGCTTACTGAAAGTGAAGATGATTTGAAGCACTTACTGATGAAGATCAAGGACTGTAACCTTCAGTATGGATTACACCTCAACATGAAAAAAAAAAAAAAAACTCAAAACCAGGCCAATAAGCAACATCATGATAAATGGAGAAAAGATTGAAGTTGTCAGGGATTTCATTTTATTTGGATGCACAATCAACCCCATGGAAGCAGCAGTCAAGAAATCAAACTACCTATTGCACTGGACAGATCTGCTACAAAAGACTTTCTGAAAGTGTAAAAGAGCAAAGATGTGTTGTTACTTTTGAAGACCAAGGTACACATGACCCAAGCCATAGTATCTTCTATAGCCTCATTTGCATGTGAGAGCTGGACAGTAAATAAGGAAGACCGCAGGAGAATTGATACATTTGAGTTGTGGTGTTGGCAAAAAGTGTTGAATGTACTGTGAACTGCTGGGAGACAAAAAAAAATCTGTCTTGGAAGGAGTATAGCCAGAATGCTCCATAGACATGAGAATGCCAGATTCTGTCTCATGGACTTTGGTTGTGTTGTCAGAAGGAGAGGGTACCGTGCCTGGTAAAGTAGTGGGTCAGTGGAAAAGGAGATGGTCCTCAGTGAGATGGATGACACAGTGGCTGGGGTGACGGGCTCAAGCACAGCAACAAACGTGAAGACGGTGCAGGACCAGACAGTAGTTCGTTCTGTAGCACACAGGGTTGCTGTGAGGCGGAACCGACTCGACGCACCTAACAGAAGCTTTTTGGCCTGGGTGGTTTAATAGGTGGCAATGCTATTGCATTAGTCTGAGTCATTTTAGGAGAGAGAAACTACACAATAATTTGAACAGAGAAAGCTTAATGTATGAAGAATTATTAACTAAACAGGGAATTAGAATAATTAGTCAGGATTGGCTTGTGATAGAACAAATACATGATTAGTAGATACAAGGAGAAGTCACTCACCCTAGGATTGAAAGACCACATCCAGTGAAGAGTGTTCGCTCCACCCCCAAAGAAATAGTCCTGGCTCAGTGTGGGCAGAGAAGTTGCTGTAGCAGCATGCCAGTGGAATTGTGATAAACCCACCCTGTAGGATACTGATGAAAACAGTTTACGGGTTGATATCTCACTAGAGGCACTCCGCTACAAACCCAGGGGTTGCTGACGGAAGCAGCTGGTCCCTGGGTGTGGCTGGTGTTGGAAAAGCCACCTGTGCTGCATGAGGGAATGTGCAGGAACTAGGAAACAACCAGCCACTCCTCGGAAGGAAGATGGGGCAATCTACGTCCATAGTGATACTGCCTCGGAAACCCAAGGAGGGGTCACTATGAGTCGGGTCTGACTTGATGGCACATAACAACAACAACAACAGGAAACAACACTCTTTTTCTTCCACAGTGTCTCTAGTACCCTCTTCTGACAAAGTTTCCATGCCAGCTGGTAGAAAAATATTGGAAGGACCCAGATCTGTTTTCACAGAGCAGTTAGGGTGACTTGGGAGCAGAGAGACAATAAAT